TCTTCTGAAGTGTTACTGTATGAACTTCCTTTGATGGATGAATCTCAAGATACACAGAGATCTTCAATAACTTATTTAAGGCCATATAGCTACCAAACGATGACGCTGAGAGGAAAGGTAAGGTTTGTTTGTGTCTACACTGCATGCTACCATTTCTCCAATGTAAGGAGTTAGAACAACCTTATTTTGTATTCCCTATAATCACACAAGTAATGCATGAATAAATACCTCATTGACTACTCGGATAAAGCTAGAATGTCCTCTGATCAACATTCTCTGCTTCCTATCACTACCCCCTCCCCCACTGGGGAGCTCACTGGGGCTCCTACCATTCCTGATATCTTCCCTTGTTCTCCCAATGCATATGTACGTAGAGAAAACACCAGCATCACCTACAGAACACTCACATGGGAGTCATTATGGTCAAACCTTGTTCCCTTTATAATGTCTTGACCTCTTTTTTTCATGTAAGCACAAGCAGATTCATTCTTTTTTACACTGCCCTGAACTTCAGGTTACACACCTACACACACACACACACACACACACTCTAATCTTGACACAAATACAATACCTCACCCTATTAACTTTCTTCTGTATATCACTTGCCCTTGTATCTTTTCTCCCATGTGCATGCACGTGTGTGTGTGTGTGTGTGTGTGTGTGTATAGTTGCACATGTAATGGTTAGGATGTGAACTCTCAATGTCCCCCTTCTAGAACTCCTTGAGCTGTGATGGAATACTTAATAGTGCTTAACATTCTCTACAGTGCTAGGTCCAAATCACAGTTCCTCACCAGACTCAAGGAGCAATAAATGCTGTCACACACACACTCTATTTCTGTTTTCTGTATGTCTGGCCATTCCCCCAGTTGGTAAACATTTAAATTGTAATCAAATGTCCATGATCATTATGCTTCAGTGGAGATCTTTGGACAGAACCTCTTGTGTACTTTTGAGAGTATTTTTCTAGGGCAGCAGAAATGAAATTGCTGTGCAATAGAGTATGCAAATTTAAAATTTTTAATAGACACTGACAAATGATGCTCCAAAGTGGCTGCACCAATTGATAACCTTTTAAGGATGGTTATGCTTCTAGATAGGAAAGAGGCTATAAGAAACCTGCGCTGGGAAGTGGCACTGTGGCTCAAGTGGTAGAGCGCTCGCCTTGAGCCGAAGAGCTCAGGGACAGGGCCCAGGACCACAGTTCAAGCCCCATAACTGACAAAAATAAAAATAAAAAAATAAATAAATAATAGAAGCCTGTGCTGTGGCTTTTCAGCTTTCCAAGTGGGCAGGTGACAACCTCCCTGGTCTCAGTAACCACACCTGCAGGTTGGAGACCACAATGTCACAAACTCAGAGAGCTGTCTCCAGTATTATGTGAGAGGAGTCCATGAACAGCTCCGAGCATAGGGCCATGTACATAGGAAACATTTGATAATAGCTCTTATAATCAATCTATATGGGGAAAAAGTTATATGAAGACAGGAATGCTGAGGATATCTTTTCTGGAAAATGTTTAGTAATAGTAAGACCATACCTGGGCTGGTTCCATCTGTCATCTTCTATAGGAAGGGTTTCGTAGCTGGACATTGATTCCAGACAATTTCAGAGTGGAGAAAGAAGCCACAATGCATGACCTTAACCATGACCTTGAGGTCTCTGCAGCCCAGCTGAGGAAAGGTTAGAAGATCACAGGGTATGGGCATTTGCTATCTTTATATGAAACTTTAAATTCACAAGAAATATTTCTCATATTTTTAATTACAAAATACCTTAGTTTTTACACATTTCCTCTTTGACATGGCATCTGGAAGATATTCTAGTCCATTGAGGCAATGCCAGTTAAAGAAGAATTTATTCATTTGTTAGGTTTTGTTTTCTTGCTAACAGTATTGCATAGAAATCTTGTCTCTTATTTTCGCTTTGTGTGAGGAACCTTGAGAAACTTGCGGAACCTTGCTAAATCTCTAAGCTTTGTAAAAATTGGATGATGATAATATTAATTTTAGAAAGCTAAACATTGGACTAGGGGTATGGTTTAAGTGAAAAAGCACTTGCCTAGTATGTGTGAGGCACTGGGCTCAAGCAGTGATAAAGCAAAACAAAGAAAAAATTAAAAGCCAATGGTATAGGAGCACTCAGACTGTACCAGACATTGTGTTAAGTAATCATTTGTTGTGAATTATTTTGTTATTAACATAGTAAGCAGAGGTAGATGGTGGTCCCTGGAGGCAAATCTGGATTCAAATCTGCTAGTGGCCAGCATGGCCTAATGACCTTGTGTCTCTGTGGGCTCCAGAAGTTTCATTGGGATGGCTAATGAACTGATATGCAAGATTCCAGAAAGAGCCCTTGAACTGTCAGGGTAGAGGGCCCCTCCCTGACCCTGATGGGAAGCAAAAGATACTGGATGGACCTTGTGTGGGGACGCTCCAGTAGATACCACCTCGGTTATGGGCCTGAGGTTGGTCTGGGAGCTAGGGAGGCAAAGGCTCTGGAAAGCTGGGTGAATGTGTCATGAAAGCCTTAATAGTCTTCAAGTATTCAGGCTGGGCTCAGCTCTCTGAAGGGTAGTTTCCCTTTGGGCCTGATAGATGAGGCCCATTGTTGGAAATTCTCGGCTTACAAGGAAGTGGTGGTACTTACAACTTCTTTATCTACTTCTAAGAAACCTTGGTGGTCCTAATCCAGCATATATTACATTCATATGACAGACAGCCTGAAACTCACAAATCTTAAAACCACAATTCCCTGCTCTTCATCTTTCCTGATGCTCAGGACATTTGTGATGTGGGCATCAGGAAATGAGCGTGAGAGAACAAGGTCCTAAGAGAGGTAAGCTTTAACTATAGAGAACTTTGGAGCAGGTGGTAGGTTTGCCTGGGCTCTGAGGTTCTTTTATTGATGGGCTATCTGCAGAATTAAGGCCCCTTCTAATCATGCCCAGTAGCACGTGACCCACCACTTTCTCAAAGGGAAATCCATTTCTTGTATGGACTTTGCTTATATACGAACTCCCTCCTCAAGGTCGGAATGGTTGAAGTCCTAGCTCAGAATGTGACAGACATAGCACAGGCTCTGGTGTCCTGGGACCTTGGTGAGTAATGGTGTTGACCCTAGGAATGTCTCCCAGGTGCTGAGCTGCAGTGTCATTATCTATGGAGGAAGAGGCTTGTCAGCTGAGAGTGTGGGAGGGGCTTTTTGCCCCACAATGCATAGGGTGAAGACTGTTAAGCAGTTTTGAAGTTTGAACACATTCTCTTCACATGAAGATGAGATCCTAAGAAGTCCTAGCACAGCGCTGGTGATTCTGGGGCAGGGCTGGGGTCTCATGGAGGAAGACGCGTTTCTGAGACTTTAGTTCTCTTTTTAATTCTGGAGCTGTGTTCCCAGGATGGCCAACAGTCCTGGTTAGCCAGTGACTAAGAGGATTCCTGGGATGTGAGACTTCAGCTGCATCAAGACTCTTGGAAGCCAGGATCATCCAGTCATCCTAAAGGTTCCCCAAGCTCTCTGAATTGAGGCTGAGGGCCAGATTTCAATCTGCTGGTCTTTGGCTGAATCAAAACCCAATGTCCCTGTCCCTAGCTGACTAGAATCCAGTACTATGCCCGACATCTTGCTTTCTTCCCTGTGGCTTGGTGTCATTCTCTATCTTAGCCTCAGATGCCCCAAAAGAGTCACACAGCCCTGGATTTGGTTTGACAACTGTTCCCATTAGAATAGTAAATAATATTTATTGTACTCTTATAAGGCAGCATACAATGTGTGTATCATCTCCCACAATATCCCTTTTAAAGTAAGTATTACTAATGGATGAGAGAGAAGAGGAAGGGAGGCAGGGAGGGAGGGAAAGGTATTGAAGGAGTGAGAGAGGCCACTTTACCTGCTTCAATTATCCTTCCATCTGACCTCAGGCCCAGGATGGAGTGATTGAGCATAAGCAGGTAGTGCCCCATTCATGCCACATATGGCTTGCACAGATAGCTTTGGGAGAGGGGAAACAGCCAAGTGTAATGGCGTGACATCATTATGTTACCAGTGACAAGTCACCTCACCTGTCTAAGCCTTGGTTTCTTGGTCTATAAAATGGGCTAAAGCTAGAGTAGGGTCTCCTTTCTTCTTTCTGCTCTTTGGAATCACCCTTTGTTTGTTAAGACATTGGTCCTGACACCACTTTTTCTGATCAACTTGCTTTGTCCCCTTGAGTCTGGAAGTATCAAGAAGTACCAAAGGTGGTCTCTTGCTTGGAGCCAGGGATTAGAGAGCCGGACAAAGCCAGCTCAGGCTTCCCCCAAGCCCCCCACCCCCCAGAGGCCAGCTGGATCTGACATAGACCACAGTAACAATCTCTCTACAGGGAAAGTACCTAGAATCTCTGTGATAGATTTTTATGCTTTTCAGTTACATCTCCCAGGAACAAGTTCTGGCTTGCTTTAATCATTTTTTTAATTGGCTTTCAAGTTATGGCACATGGATCTCTGATTTTCTAAACCCTCTAGCAATTATGCAAATGTTTTTTTTTAATTTGAGGTGTAACTGACAGGTGGAATTAACACTCTGAAGCCAGCACTTTCTTGGAGTCCTACTGTGCATACTGTGCAACTCATAATTAAGCAAGACCACTTCCCCATCCCCCCCCAATAGAAGTTATTTGGATCTTTTCCATGTGGTGGTCCTTTTAGGCTATTGAACTGGGAGAAAATTCTAAGAAAGAGGTTTATTTTTCTGCTACTAAATCTGACATTTTGTTTCCTGTGTATGTTTAGTAGGTATGACTCAGGGAAGGTTGCAGGGATGTGAACAGGTTAGTCCTAGACCAAAGAGTCTAGATGGTAGTCAACCCTGGCTGTCCCCCAAGGCTGCTTCTCCCCTTCCTCCCTCCCTCCCTCCCTCCCTCCCTCCCCTTCTCCCTCCCTCCCTCCTCCCTCTCTCTCTGTCTCTGTCTCTGTCTCTGTCTCTCTCTCTCTCTCTCTCTCTTTCTCTCTGGGACACTGTTCCACCAGAGGAATGGAGTTTGATCATGTCACTGGGATGAAGATAAGGATTAAAAGCACGAGCTTCAGAGTTAAGCAGGTATGGATTCAAATCCTGACATTCTGTTTACTATCCTTGTGACTATGGGGACTTCTTTTAATTACCTGAGACATCGTTACCTGTTAGAATGAATATAAAAGACTGCCTGTTTCATTTTGTTTTCAATGATGAAAAGCATCATTATGTAAAACCACAGCACAGAACATCATGCTTAAGTCCTCTCTTGCCAAATGTTTAGTAGTGTTGTCAATGCACTTAGGAGTTCCAACCCACCAGCAACTAATAGGTCATGACACAGTCCTTGCTAGTGAGATCTGTGGGGACCCAAGAGAAGGATCAGACTTAATTTGGAAGAGACAAGATTTACATATAAATAAAAAGTGATGAGTTAAATAGAACCAAGCTAAGTGTTTGACTAAAATGTTAAGTTGAATGACACAGGTGATCCAAAGCAGGGAAATGCAGGGCAGAGAGCCCATTTTGAGAAGCGAGGAGGTGCCTAGCATTTGCTGAGCCTTTTGCTTTGTACCAGGCTACACGGGACTGGAGCCACCAATTCTTACCATCACTCTGAAAGATGGATATATTTACCTCTTTTCTTCACAGAAGGGCAGGAAGGTTCAGAGGAATGAAACAGGTCATCCAAGGTCACATAGCTAGACTTGGCTGGAGTTTGCATTTGCAATGTACCATGGAGGGCAGTCCTGGGCTGACCTTGAAAGAAGGGCAGGGCTGAGGAACTGTGCCATACTGAGAAGACATGAGGAGTGTTGCTTAGGGTAAGAGAAGGTCCCCTAGGGGCAGAACTCTGGCTTGTCATGACTGGCAGGCTCTGGACATCAGTGTCAGCCAGTCCTGGCAGGTGAGGCCCACAAAGGACTCTTCCTTGCCACAGCCCAGCAATGAAATCTGATCTATGCCCAGGACCCACAAGGTGCCAAGTATTTGCCTTCTTATCGGGCTGGGCACATTCCACGGCCAAGTAGCCACCTGGGTTACCTCTCTCAGGTAGACCCACATAAAGCTGTATGTGCATTTGCATTGCTGCTTATCCAGTGATTTTTTTGGTGCATTTTTGAGAGTCTAGCTTGTCTACCACGGGGCCAGGGTGAGTGTACTTAGGATTAAGGACATACTGGGACAAGTCTGGGCTCTGGTTGGGTGAGGATCTGGATTTGAATCTTGCCCTACATAGGCATATGACATTTGGTAGGTCAATTCAGTGCATCAGGCCTAGGTCCTTTACCATAAAATTAGAACGATAAAAATATCTATCCTTAGTTTTGTTTTGAATATTAACTATTATAAAGAGCCTGATCTACCTGATAAATACTTCAAAAAAAGCTGTTTATTGTTTTTAAATGGTGTTAACTACTTGGAAAATCTTGAGAGCTCTGAGCTTTGTCATAGGGCCTAGGTAGGAGGGTGGGGCTGGGGAGTGGGCAGGGATGAGTAGAAGAGTCAGGTGATGCTGCCATGACATCTTGCTTGCTTTCACTTGGAAGCTTCAGCCGTCCGTCCTGACTGGCGTGTGGGAATATGAGCCGGGACTGAGTGGTGGAAATCCTGGGCTTCACCTGATGACTTGGAAAGACTTGTATGATTGTGATGAAACTTTATCCCTAAAAACATTTCTTTTTTTTTGCTGGGCTAAATCTGGTCTTGTGAAGTTGGCTCCAGTGGATCTCTCAGCTGGGAACCATGACCAAAGGTGAGAGCGTGGTTGTCCTATGCATGTTGCTCACCTCGTAGATCCAAGACTGGTGAAAGGAGAATACAGAACCTGGGAGCTAGGTTTATACCCCAGATTGCCACCTGGAAGGACCTGGCAGCTCCTTACGTAACTCTTTCCCACCCCCTTTCTCACATCAGAAGGGCTACCCTTTATCCTTTACCTTTTAGCTCTTTTGGGCATTATGATAAGCAAACAAACATCACTTAAGTGACTTCCCAAGACCACGCTTCCAAGAGCCCCCAAACAAGGCACTGTGCTGTGATTAGACCCTGCCTGTTGAAAGCCTCAGCCAGATCCCCCTGGAACTTTCTTAAAGAAGTTCTGGGCCAGCTGTCCCGTTTTGAGAGCCTGAGGTTTTCCTTTGGCTCCCCAATCACTGTGCTTTTCCCCAACTAAATCATTGTGCTCTGCCGGTACCAACTGAATATTTGCATAGTGTATCTCCAAGAACAATCTCAGGCCCAAACCTTCCACTTTATGAGAAGTTGGCTAACTGTACTCAGCACTGTTGGTCTGTTGCCAGCAAGAAGATGAAGCCGATAGACTCTTTCAGGGAGCTGTAAATATTCTTCAGCTGTTGCCAAAAAAAAAAAAAAAGGTCTAAAATGGACTATATGGTGTTTCTACAGACTTGTTCAGGAGCTTGGATCTGGCTTTATGGAGAGTCCATAGAGGACAGTCTAGATGGGCCCAGGGGGGTTGATTTTAAGCATTCCAGCCTAATATCAACATGTTTCTCAAAACCTTAGCTGACCAACAGCCAATTTTTGAAGGCCCTGCCAGGTGAACGTAGCACAGAGTTGGTTGGGGGTGAGGGTGAAGGGTAGTTTTGCTCAGTTTTGACCTCTTTTCTGATTGTCAGAAAGCAGTACAATTCTTGAGAGGTGGCAGATCTAGGGCTCAGACTGGATTTTTTTTTTCTTTGAAAATGTGGTGGAAACTTACAGGGGCTTGAAGAGATTCTGTGGCTTTTTAGAGTCCTTCCTTCACTTGGCTTTGTACATGTTACAGGAGCAGATGGAGGCTGGCTGCTCTAAGCACCAGGGAGGAAGAGGAAGAAGAGGATGAAGAAGAGGAAAAGGGTTTTCATGGTGAACGATACTAGGCCAGGAACAGAGTTCTTGATTTTCATCTAATCAGGATACATATGAGTCTGAGACCTCAGCTTAGTGCTCTAATATGGACAGTTGGGTACCATATGTCCTCTCTTTGAGGATACTGGAGATAGAGGCAGGTAATAATTGCATGGCTCAGGCCCTGAACTGGTTTGATTGGTAGTTTTGGACACTTGTGCCTCAGGTTGAAGTCCTAGTTTTGACTGCCACCCTCCCCGGCCACCCAGGTCTCTTCCATTTTTCTGCACTGGCAGATCTAGTATTGATGAGGGCTGCCTTGCTTCTGAGGTGGCACCTTGGAGCTGAATCCTCAGGAGAGGAGCACTGTGTTCTCACTTGGTGTATCATTTAAAAATGGTTTAGCTATTCATCATGGAGCTGCTAACCACAGCCAACTTACAAAGACTTGTTTTAAAATATTCTTTTCATAGTATCTCACTTAATGTTTGCAAGTTAACGAGGCAAGCACTTTTCTTACCTTTGGTTTATAGAAAACCTGCATGGCTGAGCGACATTAGGTGACTTGTCCAGAGTCAACACATTAGCAAGTAGAACCCTTTTTCCCCGCAAACACTAAAGTTTACCTGAAACCAAATATGTTGGCATTTCAAGTACTACAACCACTGGATGTAACCTGATTTCAGTTTAATCTTACTGATTTTCCAAGATACTTGGAGAGCCTTCACATAGTGTGATAAAGTCATTTTGCACCTGTGCATACTTACTAGCAAGAAGAGCAAGAATAGCAACCACTCATTAAATACTTTTACTTAGAGCTTATGGCACTTAACTTGTATTCCATGCCTGAATTTTTTTACATCTTTTCTGATTTACTTTATAGAATTAAAGAATTTCACACAAGAGTAGAAGCTTTTGTCAACAGGGGCTAAAAGTGTCTTAATTACATTTCTACCTTGGAAGTAGGTAGAAATGTTTTGGTTTTGGGGGTAGTAGCAGCACAGTTACTGTCTCTCCAATGTGGAGCAGCCAGGAAGCTGCAGGCTCTTTCCAAGAATGTCCCTCACAAGGACCTTTCCATTTTTCTTCAGGATATTTAAAACAGTAATTCAGAGGCATCACGTGATACAGGGATATGCAGTATCCCCATTACAGCCCACAAGTTTTCCTCTAGAACTTTCCAGTTCAGCATTGTGTTGTCAGAGTGAATGGTATGTATGCTCTTTCTGCTCAAGGACAGCCTACCTACCACAGGAGAAGTCTGTTCTAGAAGACTAGCAGAGCCCTGTGATGTGTTAGTCACATGGAGCTGAGGCAGGGCGTTTCCTCCTACTCTCACGCCCGCTGCAGAATGGGCTTCATTTCTACAAGTTCCTCTTGCATCAGGTAGAGAGAGTGGACTACAACTCTCCAACTCCATTTCTACATAAAGAAAAACAGCCCAGACTTACAGCTCTAGAGCCAGACAGACCCGAGTCTGACCTCAAGTTTCCCCCACTTATTTGCTCTGTGATGCTAGACAAATATCTTATTCTCTCAGGGCTGACATTGAGTGATCAAAGCATGCAAACCAATAGAATGAAACCCAGTCATTCACCTCTACTAGGTGAAGAAGGGATACGCAATGGGATTATACAGATTTGGGTTGGAATTCTGGTCCTCTATATCATTGGCTTGGAATTTGGCTCAGCCTCTCTGAATCTGTTTTCTCATTAAAATTAGAATAACAATGCCCACCCTATTGGCTGGTAATAGGGGCCAGATGACATAATAGTGTGTCTATGTGATCTTGTGGAGGAACCTGGTATACAGCAGACATGATATAACCGGGAGAGGCAGGAATTAGCAGAGGCCAGTGGTCAAAATCAGTGAAAATAAGATTTTCCTCCAAAGCAGAAGGAAAGTCCAAAACTTTAAGTAGAGAAGTCTTTTCTCTGACTTCTTGAGACTTTTCCTTTCTTAGGAATTTTCTCAGATTTCTGTGCTATGTGTGACTGATGATGTTTTCTTTTTCTGTTTGTTCTTCTTGTTGTTATTTGCCAGGTCTAGGGCTTGAACTTTTGCTCAGCTTTTTTTTTCTATCTCAGCTGGCACTCTACCACTTGAGCCAGGTCCCCAGCCCTCTTTGCTTCTGGATAGTGTCTTGTGCTTTTTGCCTGGGGCTGGCCTTAGACTTCCATCCTCTCCCATGTTGCCGGAAATACAGACTTGACAATATTTTTTATCTTTCCAAGAAAGGATACGCTCTTGCCTCAGAGTCTTGGAGAATTTGAAAGGTCTTGGATGTTGTGGGATGTGATGTCTTTGGGACGACATTTTGTGTGACATTATTGTTGACAGTCAGTGCAAGAAAATAGGATTCTACAACTCGTCCACAGGATGAAACCAGTTTTCAAGGGGCATACAGAATGACTGGGTTTCATTCTATTGGTTTGCATGCTTTGATCACTCAGTGTCATCCCTGAGAGAATAAGACACTTGTCTAGCATCACAGAGCAAATAAGTGGGGAAACTTGAGGTCAGACTCGGGTCTGTCTGGCTCTAGAGCTGTAAGTCTGGGCTGTTTTTCTTTATGTGGAAATGGGGTTGGAGAGTTATAGTCCACTCTCTCTACCTGATACAAGAGGAACTTGTAGAAATGAAGCCCATTCTGCAGTGGGAGTGGGAGTAGGAGGAAACACCCTGTCTCAGCTCCATGCTGCTAACCACATCACAGGACTCTGCTAGTCTTCCACAGATGGATTCCTCCAGTTAATCATTGAGCTCCTACTCCCCAGCCAAGAAGAGGTTGATGGGCCAGGCTGAGAATTTCTATAAATGAATGCTGACCAAGCAGTAGCTCCCACTCCAGCCATTCACTTACAGGGGAGACACAGGCTTGAAGAGGAGCAGCCATGGCCATTGGAGCTTTGATCCTTCCATTTGCTTCCTTGTGCAATGTGGAGAGAAGACAGAAGCCTTTGCAATTTAGCTGCCAGTGAATGCTGAAAACTCTCTAAAGAGAAATTTCAAGGAGTCAACCATGATTCTCCATCTGTCTTTGTTTAGTTCTGCCTGCTAAACCATGAATAGTTGGGGTCCCCATGTTGACAGTGGGATCTGGCCTTCAAGTCACTCCCAGAAGTAGAGTAAGAAAGAGAATCAGGTGGGGTTAGGAGCTCCAAAGCTTTAGCTGACACACTCATTTGTAGAGACCTTCCAGTACTGCAGCTCCTCTGGTTCTAGATATCTGTACAGGCTTAGGTGGATGTTCTGGCTATATACTTTTTTCCGTTTTGAACAGTGTGGTGTCCAAAAGGTGAGGTGTGGGGACTGGAGCCATCTTATCCTTGCAGGGCCATCTTCCCTGTCCTTCCTCAAGTATGACGATTTGGGCACACTAGTCCTTCAAAGACTACAGAATGAGCAACAGGCTACGACCACAGGAAGAAACAAATGTATGACTTATTCAGACCAGAAAAGCACAGAAAAATGGAGACACTAAGTTCCACAGAGAGTAAGTGCACTTTTCTACCTGACCAGTGAAAAGGGACAATGGTAACAGGAAGAATGTCCCGGAACAGTATGGTGGGTGGGGTTATTAACACCCTTATCCGTATGTTCCCAGCTGCTGGACGTTCCAGTGCAACATGGAGCAAGCAAAGGGAGAGACAGCCAGAATATAGGAAGTTTAACAAGCTGTCAAATCTTTTACCCTCCATGCCAGAGTTCTCTTGTAATAACAGATAATAAGAGTTCTCTTTATAATAATAACAACACACAGGGACTGAGATGTTTTTACCATTGGTTGGGGCTTGTGCCTTTATGCCTCTTTAAAAATATCTTTCAACAACCTTATATGTTTGGAAGGATCACCAAAACTTGTGTTTTGTGTTTGTCCCTTAAAGTGACTTCAAAAATTCAGTATGTACCTCATCTATTCCTTTGCCTTCAGAAACCATCTGTTTTTGTTATTGGGCTGAGACCCACAAAGGAGCAGTGATAACTTTATGTTCGGCAAACAACACTGGACTAGAAAGGCCAACTATCTTTCCTATCAAAAGGTTGTCTCTTCCTTGGTGGGTCACCTTGCTGCTCAACTCAATATTGTCATCTGTGAAATGAGGTTTGTTTTCAACACTGTGAATCAAGATCTTCAGCAAAGGTTTTAGTTTTCTTAAAATAGAAAGTCTTGCTGCATAGAAACACATATACACTTCCAGCAAATAAAAGCATGTATAAAAATATTGAAAATGGCCAGGCAATCATGGGCTCAAAGCCTTCATCATAGCTACTCAGGAGGCTGAGATCTGAGAATCACTGTTTGAAACCATCTGGGGCAGAAAAGTCTGTGAGACTCTTATCTCCAATTAACTACCAAAAAATGGTCGTCATCGTGTTATTCAGCCATGGTTGAGGAGCACTGAACGAGGTAATCTTTAGGTTCCTTTCAGGGAAATTTATCTAAGCCCTTCTTGTAACTACTGACATGTTCAATGGGTGAGGGTAAGACTTTTTTTTTAAAGTTTATGACTCGCTTTGTAAGAATTTTCTTGTACTTGTCTAAAGTCACTCCTTCTCTGAGTGGCCTGAACTCCAACCTCTTTCACTTGCAACCATCTTCCTCCTCTAGCTGAGTGCTGGAGTTGCTGCTTCTCAGCTGATGACTTTGCCCATGACTGTGACCTTTGCCATAAGCCACTGTCACACACTGTCAGCTCCATGTGAGTTTCAATAGAGTGGATGAACTGGAGAGGTGATATGACTTACTGATTGAAATTTTAAAGATCACCTCCCCTTTTTGACCTTTGACTTTGCATTTGCATTTTGGAGGCACGCAGTCAGTTTGCTTATGGTGAACACATACTACATGGTTTTATTAATTTCTCTGATGGTTTTGAATAACAAGCTTATTCATGTATTTAAACTTCTGGTTGTAATTGTATTAAATGCCTCTGCTGGGAAGACTCAACTATAGAGATGCAGATAACTTTTAAGGCAAAAGATCAAGTCCAAAATGATGATTCTTCTAGGTAGAATGAATGGAAAGTTTACGAGGGCTACTGGAAGTCCAGACATCAGATAACCTGAGCTGGAGAACTCACCTGATTTACAGGTTGTGTGACTTCAGGCAAGTTATTTTATCTTTCTAAGTTCCACTTCCATCATCTATAAAAAATGAGCAGTTAAAGAATGGCATCCAGGAAAGTTGTATTCGGTGCCAACCAATCAAGGCCTTGGTTTCTTTGCTCACATCTCTTGGACACAGACAGCTGTTGGCTTAGAGTGGAGAATACCTTTGGCTTTTGGAGGGGTCTGGTTTGAGTGAGTAGATACCTGTGGATAATAGGCCAATTTCAAATGAGTTTCAAGGCATTAAAAACAACTAGTTCCATTGGCATCTCAGAAAAGCCACAATTGTTCTATTTTCCTGGCACAACTATTTCACAAGGCGTGCTGCAACTTGTCCTATTTGCCCAAGCCTCAGTTAAGTCCTCAGGAAGACAATGACATGGTGTCATTTGGAAAGTATAGCTGTCTCCTGACAGGAAGAAGCCCATTGGAAGAGGAGGTTGGTCAGCTTGTGCCTCTATCTCGTTCCCCACTCTATAGGACTTCTACAGTTCTGCTGCCTGGGATCTTGGTGTCTTGTAGATTAGCTTAGCTCTTTCTGGGAGCACTGGCTTAGTTGGGATAAGAACACACCTGTGTGTGGTGTTTGATGATTCTGTGGGTTTTTGAGCAGTCTTCCCCAAAGGGTGGCACCAACATTCTACCATTACAGAATAAGGAGCAGGGCTGTGGGTTCCTTCAGACCCAAAGCTGGGGACTTACTGGCTGAGTGATTCTGGGCAAGGTGACTTAACTTCTCTGAGCATTATACTCTTTATATTGCCATCCGTGCTGTTCTTAGATGAGGTGATGTATGAGAAAACCTGTGGGCAATTCTGGCACCTAGGAAGGTTCAGAAAATGGTACCTCTGGTGCCAGTATTGTTGCCATGGTATTGAAGGGTAGGACCTGGGAAATCTTCCACTTTAGGAATTAATTCTTGGGTTTCTTTGTTTTTTAGCAAGCAAGACTTAAGAAATGAATGTGAGACACGAAGCTAGATAGCTTAAATAACAGCTTTTGACCTTGAAAGATGGTGGACTTCTAATTAATGATTAGTTGGATTAGGAAGACTCTGAAACTCAGTCATTAACAGTATAGTAAATCCTAGCAATCAATTTGTAAACACCAGGGACACATCTTTGAAGACTGAAGGCAGAAATCTAGAAATAGAAGGTAAATACAAATTATAGCTGTGGGTGATTTCAATGATATGGGAGCTGTCAAGAGAAAAGTTGGCATTTGCCCAGCAAGTTTCCAAAACAATACTCTGGAAATGAAAAAGAATTTTATACAGGCTAACTTTGCTGTATGTCATATATGCTGTATGCTTTTGTTGGTGGTGGTCATGGGGCTTGAACTCAGGGTCTTGGGTGCTCTCCATGAGCTCTTTTGCTCAAGGCTAGCACTCTACCACTTTGAGCCACAGTACCACTACAGTTTTTGAGTTGATTGTTGGAGGTAATAGTCTCATGGACTTTCCTGCCCAGCCTGCATTTGAACCATAATCCTTGGATCTCAGCCTCCTGAGTAGTTAGGATTACTGGTGTGAGCCAGGTGTGAGCAGGATATGCTTTTTGGGCAATTGGTTAATATTAAACACGAGGAACTAATAATTAAGCCATGTCTTTTAAGATGTACTTTCTCATTTTGAGGCAAGGCAGTTTTTTTTTCTCCTTGTCCACTAGCACAGTTAGGTCTATCTTCCATCCTAAGGTAGCCAAAGCATCTCATCCTATTGAAATAATTTTCTTTTGAACTCAGGGCTTCTTGCTTTCTAGTTAGATGCTCTATCACAAGCCCCTGACTTTTTTCTCTACTTATTTTTCAGATAGGGTTTTACATTTTCCCCCAACAGTCCTGGAACATAATCTTCTTGTTCACACTTCCTGCATAGCTAGGATGATTGGCACTCACACCTTCAGACTCAGCTTATTGATTTAGATGAGGTCTCAATAACTTGGCCTTGAACTTTGAACCTTCAAATCACTGCCTCCCAAGAAGCTAGGGTTACAGGTGTGAACCATCTCACCTTGGTAAAAAAATTTTAAATTCACCAACAAGTAAGATAAAGCCACTCAAGTGTATGTAGTTACTGATTTTCTGGCTCATTGATAATATTCAAATCAAATAGACATTATGATTGGAAATGAATAGAAAACAGCCCAGCATATAGTACACAAACTTATTTATTAGTGTAAAAAAGAGAACTTGTTTATAACACAGGAAAGTAAAAAAATTAGAAGTGTTCTACAAAAATTTTAACTGTGCATGTATAAAAGAAGAGTGGCACTATGACCAGGTTTGAAGACTTCACATGAACGCCTATGTTAGTGTCAGGAAATTGAAGAAGAGTGACATGTGGTAGAAAAATAGATATGCCCATACCACGCTCCTAATTCATACATATAACTTGTATTAACTATAGCAGAGGTCACAGTTTGCTTCCCTCCTATAGAAATCGCTGGTGGTGGCCACTGAGGGGGCAAAGTCCGCACAGTCTGGGCTTGGGTAGAAGTACTCAGATGTTCTGAGGATGTCCACGTGCTCTGTCTCACAGGAGGCGCAGTAGCAGACCGAGGTGGTGGCTGCAGGGAAGCAGTTGTACTGGGTGTGTGAGGACAAATGGTGGTAGGAGCAGTTGTCTGGAGGGAAGCCAGGGTTTAGGGTGTCCAGAGATGGGGGAGAGTTGTAACTCTCAGGAGCATATGAAGGCAGCTGGGCTGGTGAGTAACTGTAGTCAAAGGAGCCAGAGAGACTGGAGGAATCTGAAGGTGATCCTGGGGTCTAGACACATGAAAAAAAAACAACAACAAGGAACAAAGAACTTGAAAACGTAGACAGGATCAGATGAACGGAACAGTGCGGATTTATTAACGCAGAGTAAGAAAACGAGGGGGTGACAAACCAAAACACCCAACCCAAAGTCCACAGAAGTAATTGTATTTGCTGACTCCATGATTTCACGACACCACATTTTATATTTACCTATTTCCTTCCCAACAATTAATTGTCTTGCTTCACTGGCTTCCTTTGTTATCACCATGCTTTGGAGGATGTTTTGTTCTTAAACCACAAGGTCCCATTGTGTGTCTGGTCACCTGCGCATGGAGTCCTGCTGTGTGCAGCAATATAAGCTGCAGGTGGCCCTTTGGACGTGTCTTTACACCTTTGGCATAGAGAACCAAGTAGACAGGAGAATCTGCATCTCCCCAGAGCCCAACTTCTGGGACATTCCAGCAGGAGAAGCCACCTTCCCTGTCATTAAAATCTTACCCCCTGAGGGGAAAAGTTCCAACTACCTTCTCTTAAGCAAGTCTCTAGTCCTTAGTGAGAATTAGCCTGACTTGGAAGCTAGAAGGTAACTGGGCGGTTGGAACCCTGTATTTGCCTCATGGCAATATACCTATGCTGAGTGTTAATTGCCTATCCCCTCTAAAATCCGGTTTGCTGCTTATATAGACTTTTTGAGAAACCAAGAGGAAAAAGTATTCACACTTCTTCCTTTTATTTTTAAACTTAACATTTACGAGTTTTAGAAAAGCATAAACCTCCAATAGACATCTAGAAAAACTAGTAACCGCTCATGTAAACCTTATTCTTTCTTTCTTTCTCTTTTCTTTCTTTCTTTCTCTTTCTTTCTTTCTTTCCTTCCTTCCTTCCTTCCTTCTTTCTTTCTTCCTTCCTTCCTTCCTTCTTTCTTTCTTCCTTTCTTTCTTTCTTTCCTTCCTTCCTTCCTTCCTCCCTCCCTCCCTCCCTTCTTTCTTCTTTCTTTCTTTCTTTTCTATTTTTGTGCTGGGACTGGGGCTTGAATTCAGGGCTTGGGCACTGTCTCTTAACTTTTTTCCCCCCTTTCGAAGCTGGCGTTCTAACTTCTTGAGCCATAGTTCCACGTGTGGCTTCTTGCTGGTTAACTGGAGGTAAGAGTCTCATGGGCTTTCTTGCCCAGACTGGCTTTCAACCTCAGTCTTCAGAACTCAGTAGCTAAGATTACAGGTGTGAGCCACTAGTGTCTAGCCTAACTTACTCATTTTAAAAGGAAATATATTTTTGAACACTTGAGATTCATAAAAGGGGAGACAAGTCAAATTCTTTCAAATGAATGGTTCATTTTATGAACCATCTCAGACCCAAATGAGTTCTTGTGTGCGTAAGAAGATCAAAACAACCAGTTAGCAGAGCTGATTGAGTAACCAAGTCAAGCCAAACCAACCCCCACTCACAGAATGAAGTTTGAAAAAACAAATCTTAATTCTATTTCAAAGAACTCAAAACCCACCTACAACTTAGCCAATGTCTTTGCCTTACAATTCAAGAAACAGCAGGGGAGTTGTGGCCACACATCATTTCACCTGAGAAATTATAATTATGTATTTAAAACGTTATGCCCTGTGATGTGTCCACACGTGGAATCCTTGTCGAGAAAATTTATGTGCTTTCTCACAAGAAGAGACAAACTCTCTTACAAATTATTACTACCCAGGAATTAACAACCATTCGCTTATATGAAGAATGAAGATACATTACCAGACTCTGATTAAAGCAGAAAGGGGTCGCTTGGAAGCCCTCTGGAAAATAGTAGGGAGTGCTTGGTGTGGAGTTGAACAAAGGTTCTGGGGATGTTTCTGTCTGCAGATAGGAATCAAAGATCTGGTCCAGGCAGCTTGGATTTTCTTCACAAGAAACACAAGTGGAAAATTCACGGGGTTGAAAATAATTGTTTGTGGAAGACATTGGCTCAGGCTCAAAATACAATCCTAAAGGAGGAAGGGAAAAGAAATGTACTTCCAAATGACCCCATGGATTTGAATAGAGGTATCATCTGTATTCTGAATAATTGCTCTATCAAGGGGAGAAAAGCACTTGAGAAATTCCACTAAAGTAAATAGGCAGACAATTTGTACTTTTTAGTTGTTTTAGTTAAACCAAGCACCAGCGAAATGAATCTGGTAAATACTGTGGCAGGGAATATGATATAAAATAATATGATCAGGGAACGAAAATAAAGCATGGTGGTCCAACCTGTGTCCAAGTGTCACAGTGGAGATATGATTCAAGCCTCCATGGTCTTGGGTTCAAAAGCCAGCGACACCCAGCCCCCATATCTGGTTCAAGTAAGCCTCTCAGCAGTGACTGTGACTCAGAGATCCAGGTGAGGCTCTGAGAAAATTTCTGACACTATGGGAAAATACTCTTTGTGATTTACGACTATTGCTTTCCTAAACTTCACACACCCCCAACTGAATCTTGAAGAGAGGGTTTTGAGAAGTGGTATTGATGGCAATAGAAAGAATAAGAAATGGAAACCAGCATTACATGTTTAAAGTCATAAAAAGCAAACAGGTTTTCTTAATGCATATATTAAAATGGTAATGCAGTGAACAAACTTGGTAAACACCACACAAGACTTAGTTGCTGTTTTTTTTTTTAAATCATTGCTTTTTCACTCCAGTCTTGATAGAACTGGTGTGTGATAAATATCCCTAAATGCTCCAAGAAGAGACATTGAAGAGGATACTCATTAATGGAGCCACAGGACAAGAAATTGTTTTTTTGCAGTCTTAAGTTCCTTTACGGCTATGTGAAAGAGATGTATTTGTGGCAGCTAACATCAGCTCAAGCTTCCTTATGTATGACCTCCTTAAACTCTTAACTGCTGAGTGGCATAGGCAGGAGTGCTTATGTAATAGTTATTCGTATTGGGCTGGGAAAACTTACACTTGTCTGAACTGCTTTCTGGGAAGAGAGAAAAGAAGGGAAGGGAAGCCCCTGTCGGCTAGACGCTAAATGAACAGGAGCAAAGGCATTATTTGAGAGCTTCAGGATGTTCTGTATTTCATCTAATAGTACACTAAAAAAAAAAAAAGATAAGACTCTAAAGAGTTCTGATACTAAAGTCAAGTTGAGTTACTTAGTGATGAGGAATGGAATGAAGGTAAAGAACTAGGTTTGGAGGCAGCGCAAACAGCAGAGAGAGGACAGTTCAGAAATGAGGACAGAATGTTAGCACTGGCTTCCTGGCTAGCTTGCTTTTTCATCTCCTGATTGGTTGGATTCCAATTAAATGGTGGTGCCTATCTGAATCAAGCTCTGAAAAGCTTTCCAGGTGGACTTTTTGAAGGAGTTTTTTGTTGTTGTTGTTGTTTTGAGGGAGTTGTGATGCTCGCTGGACTGACCTGAGGTTGGCACATCTGGGTCTGAAATGTGCACATTGCTGGGTCCGGGCAGCTGTCAAAGCAAGAATATGACCATGAAGCAAAAAGAAGAATAGAAGTTCTATGCCGGGAAAGCTAGAACATTTTGATGGGAGCTGTGTTTCCTTCTGAGATAAGGTAAGCCAGATTCTTTTCCTGTAAAAAAACAAACAGTTGCTTCTTAAATGCAACTAATGTATTTTACTTAGATTTGATTCTTTTAGGTTTGCCTGATTTTTTTTTTGCTAGTATCAGATTCCCCAGTTAAATTTTATGTCATTCATTTTGCTAAAGATCAATGTAAATAATTTTCATGTTATAGAAATGCAAGGGTTTGTGAAACCTGAGCCAACATTCTTTCTAGTAAATAATTTTATTTACAATTAATACGGACCAACATTTTTCTAATTCAAATAGGACTTAGTCAATAATTTTCACAATTTTTCAAATCCCAACTGGTTTCCTAGTCTTACAAATTTGTTTCCCCCCTAAAGCAAACATTTCCTAATGCTGTTAAACCTGATAACCTAAAAATATGCACGTGTCCTTGCTACTTATGAACTACTAAAATAGAAAAGATTTTCGAATTATAATCACCAATCCAGAGCCTAGCAGCATTCTAGTTTAAAGTCAGGAAATATTTCAACTCTGCATGTGTGTGTGTGTGTTTAACTACTTTCTATAAAGTTTCTTCTTTTGTTACTGTATTTAAATATTAAAGTTTATGAGACTGCTCCTTTTAACTATTTAAAGTAAAACAACCTACGCTTTCCAGTTGATTGGATAATTATACTAATCTAATAATTTAGGACTTTTTTTTTTTTAGATTTCAAGGGACGACTTTAAAGTTTAAAGGTTCCAGCATTGCTCTGGGATTCCAGGCTGGGAAGGCCAGTTTACCACACCTCTCTCTTGGGTCCCAGGGGATACTCACTCCTGTTCCCTGACCGCTGGGCGCTGGGAGCAAGGCAGAATCAGCCACTGGTGAAACAGGAGGTGGTGTTAATTTTGAAAATGATCCATGCGGCAATGTCATGAACCAGGAAGCTGGAATCCTTTACCAGGTCCTTATGCAAATATTTGGTTTTTGAGCTCAAGGACTTGGAAGGAGTGGGTTTTAAAAACCCTGCTTCATAGTAGAGCATTCTCTTTAACTCCATGCTTCCCCTGGATTGGCTTATTTGTTTGCTTCCCTGTTACCTTCCCCAGGTATGTTAACAATATCCTCCCTGATATTATCTTTCCAGTCATGGGTCCAGTTTCTCCTTTGCTCCAAAAATACAAAGAAAGTCACCTCTCTCTTAGATTTCAAACAGCACAAAATCCACAATCAACCACTTGTGAAAACACATCATGGCTGGCTTAAAACACACACACACACACACACACACACACACACACACACAGCTAATGGTTTAAGAAAGAAAAGAAAAAGTAAATCTTTTGATAAGTACTAACTGATGTTTTCCTTTGCCCAAAAGACAAAAGTAGTGTGTGTGTGTGTGTGTGTGTGTGTGTGTGTGTGTGTGTGTGTGTGTGTGTGTGTATGTAAGTTGATGTGTCTGAGGTGTTTTTTTTTTTTAAATCTTCCATTTGGTCTCACATAGTTTCTCCTGGTATAGCTTGAGACCTGGGGTTTTTGTCTCAGTCTAGAAATTCCATACACGATTGCCTTTTCAAAATTGCAATTTGTGGATACTACTCAGACTTTATAACTAATTAAGATAAATTCTTGCCTGCTTTGCAATATTTGATACAATTAATTCTATCCTTAATGTTTCCCAGAGTTATCCTTCAACCACTGAACACATAGGAGAAAAGTCCTGTCAGGTATGTGCCATCCTTGCCTACTGGGTACACTTTTTTGTAGTAATCCTCGTATTACAATCCTATATCCTTCCAATGATTACTAGTGAAAGATCTTACATCTCCCTCTTCAACTGAAATTGTGTTGCTGAGGGCACAGGCTGAGAGAATCTTCCAGGAAGCAAAAGTAGAATGTGTTCCTGCCAGGCACTGGTTCAGAAGTCCTGATTCATTTTTTTCCCTGAGTGATATTTAGAAAAAGATAAGTCAGACTCCAGGGAACAGAAACTAGTGAGATACACAAGTGAAGTACTTTCCTTTGCTTCAGCTCCTGAAGCTTGTGAAGGAGCCAACAGCAGGCAAACTAATCAGTGAAGACCTACTAGCCACAGAACTACTTTGCTTGAGAGAGAAAGTCTTCAGGTCCAGGTAAAGCAGAACTCTACCAACACCAAAGCTCTTTCACGAAAGACTGTGTGTTATGAACATCTTGATTGGATGAGGAAGGTGTGGGTTCCAATAGCATCCTCCAGTTCCCTCAAGACTAGTTTGATTATTTGTAACCTGGTAACCTCAACTCACTTCCTAACTGAAGGGATTGAGATGACCGGGCTCAGCTCCTGCTTGGTATGGCTGGATCCATAGAAAGATCAACTTAGAGGCAACAGATGGAAAAGGCTTTTATACTAAGAATAAAATGACTTTGGGTCTACCTCTGACTTTACCATTAGCAACTGTGAGGCTTTGAACATCAGCTGTAATAGAGGAATACAGACTCCTGATCTACTTACCTCCTCTGATTACTGTAACTAAATGAAATAGTGAGCATGCTAAGTGCTTTAAAAGAAGCATCATTGGAAGCTCTTTACAGATGTAAGAAAGTTTTGCTGGGACTTGAAATTGTGCAGATGGAGATATTCACTTCTCCAGCTGTATATAAACAGGTGTGAGCAAACTCATACTTAACTGTAAACTCAGGACAAAAGCTGAAGAGCTGGCTTTCAATCCTTGCTTGGAAACTTTGTTTTACATGATCTTCCCCAAAAGTTAACATTTATCGAGCCCTCACAGAGTGGAAAATACTCTTCCAAGTGCTTTCTCTGCAACAGCTCATTTAGTTCTTACAAAACTTTATGACCCCTAATTTAAAGATGAGGGGAGCCATGCAAGAGAGGTGGAGGAAGCCATATGGAGGAGATGAGATCTAAACCCAGTTCATCTGGCTCCGGAACCTACTCACCACCCCTACGTAACTTGCTTCCTCCCACTTCATGAGTCATACATCAAACACAAATAGCACCATGCAGAAAAACTGTTCTGTGGCAGATGCTCACAGGCTGGAGAAGGCCCAAAGGTAACAGGCAATGTGAGCAACCCACACTGACCCACAGAAATTGTATCATCTATTGAGGGCTTTCAGGAATGAGTTTCCTTTTCTCGAGAATGACCTCACCTAGTTTATTTGGTTTCTGCTGCTGCCCTGAACACTTCTGATAGTACTTTACCTGCTTTACCAAGCTCTACCAAGTGTCAGAGTGATTTACAACTTCCCAGATCAATTTTGGGCGTATGTGAGGATTCACTCTAGCTTTAAGGCAGTGGTTCTGTGTAATATTCCAAGGAAGGGGGATTTTGATGACTGGTGGTTTTCAGACAAATGACCTCAGAAGCTAAGTTTCAAAAGGAGGAGGGAGAGGAAGATGTCTCACAGATTCTCTAAACCCAAATGAGGTAAATTTCTGGAAGAGGTTTTTTTCTGAGCATGTGAAGATTCTATGTGCATTGTCTTCCTAACACAATAGCAATCCAAACACCTGATGGCTGGCTCTCTTTGCACTGTACCAACAAGATTGTTATTCTCAACTTTGATCAGTGAGGGACGGCCTTTCCCCAAATCCTGAGCCCTATAACACCCCCCCCCCCCCCAACCATCTGTGCTTTGTGGTTGCCTGTGGTGAATTGGGATGAAGGTGGGCTGGGAAGCTGTAAGACCAGCCGGGAAAGGCCAGGTCCCCGGGGTGGCCCCGACACTACCCCACACCCAGGACTGGACGAGCCCTGCCATGGGCTGGCTGGCAAGTGAGGGGCGAATGCTTACGGTTCCCCCCGAGGCTGCCTGGTGTGCCCTTCTTTGCTGCAGCAGCTCCTTCACAGTGATCTTCACCCGGACACCTTGATACACCTTTGGTTTTTCTGGGGGAGAGGCAACTGAATCAGTGGTAAAGTCCAAGAGTTGGGGTGTCAGGAGTGAGGGCCCCTTTTATAGGCTATGGTACCCAATTTTTTTGAGCGGGCTGAGGGGGAGTGGCAGCTAAGAGATGGATGTGCATTTTCAAGATCCCCAATGGGAGCAGAACGTATAGAAATCTGTGGGACCATTCGGTGGGAGCTGGCGCTGGGGCAAACAGCCCCCAAGAATGAGCAGAGGAGCCCACCACTGTGGCTAAGTACGGGGAGACTGGGGTTTGAGGCCCAGCCTGCTGAACCGGAAGAGAGCATTACGGAGTGGGGCAGGGGGACTTTCTCATTCATGCCCACTGTGGTGGTTCTACTGGTGGGAAGCCTGCAGGCCCTCCCTTGGGCTGCAGGCCAGGCATGGCTGGAGGCTACGGCCTCACATGCCCTCGGCCTGCAAGCCAGCCCTGGGACGCGCGGCTGGGCTTGGCCAGTCTGTCCTGGGCAGGTGAGGGACCACGCGCAAGGAGCTCTCTGTGGTCCCTTTCATCCGTCCACCGTCTCTCCCCACCCCTCTCCGCGGTGCACTGGGAGGCTCCGGGGCGAGTCTGTGCAGCTCGAGCTCCGCAGGGTGGGGGAAACCGGCTCCCCAGGACCGCGCAGCCGCTGGGAGGCCGCCCTCCGGAAGGGGCCGCCCCCGAGCCGGCGGGGCCGGGCTGCGGCGCCCCGGGAGGGAAGCAGAATGGCGGGCGCGCGCTGCGGGGGTCCGCGGGGGAGGGACCGTGTGTGTGCGCGGTCCCCCCCCCCGGGGGACACCCCCACCCACCCCCGAAGAGCCACAGTGAGTAGATCAGGGCGACTGTTAGGCCAGGCGAGGCCAGACGAGCTTTGTGGGCCCAGCGGGATGGGCTGCGAGCGGCCCCCCGAGCAGCTCCGGCCTTGATCTTGGCCCTGCAGCCCGGGGAGGGGCCGGGCGCCGCGGCTGCACCGACGGACTGTCGGTCGGGGAGGTTGGTCACAGCACCAGGGTTGACAGCGCCTCCCCTGGTCGTGGCAGGGGCCACAGCAGGACAGCAGGGAGGCACCCCCCTCCCCCCCCCACACAACCAGGCCAGATCTGGGGAGCTGAGGGTCTCCCCAAGAGAGGGGTCTGCGCTCTTCTTCGCCCAGGGCTGGGGAATCCTAGGCCCAGGCACGCAGGGCCCCGGCGCTGCGCCTTCTCCTCGTTTCCAGTCGCCTTTTCCACCCCCCACCGCCACCGTCCCTCCCTCCGCTCCGAGCTCCCGGCTCCGAACGGGGCTCCGAAGGCAGGGCACGCGCCCTGGGGTCCGCACGGGGACGGGCCACCGCCGTGCGCGGCCCGACGCGCCCTGCTCCGATCCCCGGCTCTCCGTGAACCTCTAGCTCCCCCGCGCCGCCGTTTCAGGGCGCGCGGAAGCTCGTTCCCCGCGAAACCGCACGACAGGACCGTGGCAAAGTGGGAGGGCAGGCAGGGGCCTTGGGGTACACGATGTCCGGTGGCCTTGGGCCTCTGGCCCTTCCAGGGACCAAGCATCCAGCTCAATCAGCCACGGTTGTTGCCTCGGTTGGAGACCCAGAGAACCCAGCCCGGCTCTTACTGGCTTGCCCTGATTTTTTTTTTTTTAAATCATTTTCTGTTGTGTGCAGGAAAAGCTATGGAAATAACACCCGGATCCAAACGCCCCTGGCCCGCCTGACCCGACCCCTCGGAGAAGCAGCTGAGTTACCCGACATCCTGGTCTGCAGGAGATGGCTCAGAGACTGGCTTCAGCAGCTGCAGGAACTCAGCACCTAGGAGGGTTCCTGTGGAGGGAAGAGAGGCAGAGATGCGACATTTTTAAAGTTTCACAAAACATCCAGCTGCACCCAAGTCCCTGGAGCAGGAGACACACAGAATTAATGTTTTATACCTTCGGGTATAGGTTTGAGTTTTTTTCCCCTCATGCCAAGTATTTAAAACCTCTAGAAACCCATGATTTGACAATCAATGATTGCGCGATACTTTCAATTTGAATATTCAAAGGCTTAACAAAATGGACTATCTTCTGCAGAAATCCTGCACACAGGCACCCCACAGAGAGGCCAGAGAAACAGGGAGTGAGACCCCTTTGGGCCCTGACCCTTGCTTTTCTTGTATTTTGAGCATTTTGTCCACCTTGCCACAGACACAGCAGGTGTCCTCAAAGATGCTCTGTTTTTCTACCTCCCAGGCAGCTCCAAAGCCAGGAGTGACTTGGTCTGCTTCTCCATGACCACCTGAGACAGGCTGGCCAGCCACACTGATTCTTGCATTCTTAATGTCCAGTTTAAGGGAAAATCTCAGGTTTTGGGGAGTGAACATGGCAGCAGCCATTGGGTGTGG